AGAGAAAACCCTAAGAAAAACAGTTTATCGCGAGGACATCCGAGAGAGATCAGGTTATCGCCGAGCAGATCCGACCATCGCCAAAATAAACTGGTAAGCGATCGGATATTTCCCTAAGTGTTGTGTTTTCATCGGATAACCTCGAGCTAATAGCCTTGTTTTGTGGGGTTTTCGAGGGTAAACATAGTTTAGCTCGGAGAAAGGTGAACGGATCGAGAGATAGCCGAGGGGAAAAGGATCGGATCGTACGGACAACCGAGAGATTCTTAAGGAGATCGGATATCTTCGTTTTGGTGCGAGTTTCATCGGGATTTCTTCTGACCAATCTGTTTCCAGCCTTGTTTAAGGTGAGTGTGTGACTGTGGTTAGTGTCTAGAACCGTAGGATTGCTAGGGTTGAATGTTTGCATGTTGATTGTGTGATTTTCATGTTATGTGTATATAACTGATAAGCGATTTCATGTTATGATATATTAAAGTGTTTACCGTGGCATTGATGATGTCTAGCTAACCTCAGGGTAATCCGGATCATGTACTAGCTTAGGAGATGTGGGATTCTCACTGAAGTAGACATGGGTCTCAAAAGAGATTGAACTTGGTTGGTTTAATTAGATGATCATGGCCGTTTGATATTGTTATGTCTATTGCAAATTGATTGTTTTGAATGTTGGATCCGAAAGTATGATTGTGTGTTTGGTACTGACCAGGTGTTACGGGATGACCGTACTCACTAAGTATTTATGAAATACTTATGCCTCTCTTCTTGAGTGTACAGGTACTAAGCAGTAAGGAGGCGAGACCAGGCGGCAGTGATGGATATGGATGGATCGGGACTGGGTTTTATTTATGTTTAAGACGCTGTGCTTTGTCTTATGGCTTTGGTGTTTGACCGTTTAGGTTTCTAGATGATCATTTGTAATCGTTAACGAACCTTGTGTTTTGATATCTGATAACCCCGAATCCTGTTTAAGTGTTTTATGAAACTTAAATGAATAAGATGAGTTATTTTATATTCCACTGTGTGTTGATACGAAAGAAAAAGAATAAAGAAAAAGTTTTAAAATATGGCTAAGTATAGAATCAGACTGTTAGGATATAGTGGGACACAGCCGCGGTACGGTTTACCGGGTTGGGTTACCACAAGTTGGTATCAGAGCGTTTTAACGCTTCTAGGACTGAAATTGGTGACTGCTGTTGTTTGCTTGTTTGGGGTTTATGGAGGTCCGATCCATTCTTCACTACCAAGGTCTCGCGGTAAGTTGTTGTTTGGTGTTGTGAAACACGTTTTGAGTTAGCTTCGGCTAACTGGCATTATTGTACTTGCAGATGGTTGATACCAGAAGAACCGTGAGAAATAATGGGGACAACCAGGCTGCTGGGTCTGTGAAGCGATCAGATATTTCCCTAAGTGTTGAGTTTTCATCGGTTAACCTCGAGCTAATAGCCTTGTTTTGTGGGGTTTTCGAGGGTAAACAGAGTTTGGCTCGGAGAAAGGTGAACGGATCGAGAGATAGCCGAGGAGAAAAGGATCGGATCGTACGGACAGCCAAGAGATTCTTAAGGAGATCGGATATCTTCGTTTTGGTGCGAGTTTCATCGGAATTTCTTCTGACCAATATGTTTCCAGCCTTGTTTAAGGTGAGTGTGTGACTGTGGTTGGTGTCTAGAACTGTATGATTGCTAGGGTTGAATGTTTGCATGTTGATTGTGTGATTTTCATGTTATGTGTTTAGAACTGATAAGCGATTTCATGTTATGATATATTAAAGAGTTTACCGTGGCATTGATGATGTCTAGCTAACCTTAGGGTGATCCGGATCATGTACTAGCTTAGGGGATGTGAGATTCTGAAGTAGACATGGGTCTCAAAAAGGGATTGAACTTGGTTGGTTTAGTTAGATGATCATGGCCGTTTGATATTGTTATGTCTATTGCGAATTGATTGTGTTGAATGTTGGATCCAAAAGTATGATTGTGTGTTTGGTACTGACCAGGTGTTACGGGATGATCATACTCACTAAGTATTTATGAAATACTTATGCCTCTCTTCTTGAGTGTGCAGGTACTAAGCAGTAAGGGGGCGAGACCAGGCGGCAGTGATGGATATGGATGGATCGAGACTGGGTTTTATTTATGTTTAAGACATTGTGCTTTGTCTTATGGCTTTGGTGTTTGACCGTTTAGGTTGCTAGATGATCATTTGTAATCGTTAGCGAACCTTGTGTTTTGATATCTGATAACCCTGAATCCTGTTTAAGTGTTTTATGAAACTTAAATAAATAAGATGAGTTATTTTATATTCCGCTGTGTATTGATAAGAAAGAATAAGAATAAAGAAAAAGTTTTAAAATATGGCTAAGTATAGAAACGGACTGTTAGGATGTAGTGGGACACAGCCGCGGTACAGTTTACCGGGTTGGATTACCACACATCTCATCTCTTTTGGAGATGTTTCCCTTCCTTTGGCATGCATCACATGAGGAGATGTGAGCTTGAGCGTCCTTGAACAAGCTAGGTCACCAAAAACCAGCTTAAAGTACCTATGAGGCTGTCTTGAAGGTTGCAAAGTGACCTCCATAAGTTGAACCATGGCAATGATGCAGTATCCCTTGAACTTCTTCCTCAGCTATGCACCTACTGAACAGTCCATCATTCCCTCTCTTATAGAGATAAGGCTCATCCCAAAAGTAGTGAGAAACATCCCTTAAGAACTTCCTCTTCTGATGTGAGTTGAGGTTCAGTGGTATCTGGCCAATAATCAAGTAGTTCACAAAGTCAACATACCAAAGCAGTTTGTTCTCTTCCAAGCTTTGCACTTCAGCTGCTTTCATTCCCAAGCATGCAGCTGCTCTTCTGGTAGAGTATCATTGATTGGGACAAAATCATCTATCCTCAGTCTTGAAAGGTGATCAGCTACACCATTCTCAATGCCTCTCTTATCCATAATCTCCATGTCAAACTCTTGCAAGAGGAGGATCCATCTAAGAAGTCTTGGCTTGGTATCTTTCTTGGTATATATGTGCCTTAAAGCAGCATAGTCTGTGTAAACTATGACTTTGGATCCAACTAAGTAGCTTCTGAACTTCTCAAATGCAAGGACAACTTCTAGGAGCTCCTTTTCAGTTGTTGCATATTTTTATTGAGCTTCATCCATTGTTCTGCTAGCATAATAGATAACATGAAGCTTCTTGTCTACTCTTTGACCCAAGACTGCTCTAACAGCATAGTCACTAGCATCACACATGATTTCAAATGACAAATCCCAGTTTGGGGCTTGAACTATTGGCGCTGACACTAAAGCTTGTTTGAGAGTGCGGAAGGCTTGCAAGCAGTCTTCATCAAACACAAACTTTGTCTCCTTACACAGCAGTCTTGTCAAGGGTCTTGCTATCTTTGAGAAGTCTTTGATGAACCTTCTGTAGAAACCAGCATTCCCCAGGAAGCTTCTGATTCCCTTGATTGAATTTGGAGGTTCTAAGTGCAGCATCACATCTATCTTGTCCTTGTCCACTTCAATCCCCTTCTCTGAAATGTTGTGACCCAACACAATGCCTTCTTGAACCATGAAATGACACTTCTGTCAATTCAGAACCAGCTTAGTGTCTTCACATCTCCGTAAAACCTGAGAAAGATTGGACAAGCAGACACCAACGGAGGATCCATAGACACTAAAGTCATCCATGAATACCTCCACCACCTCTTCAAGCAAGTCAGATAATATGGAGGTCATACACCTCTGAAATGTTACAGGAGCATTGCATAAACCAAAAGGCATTCTCCTATAAGCAAATGTTCTATATGGGCAAGTAAAAGTAGTTTTATCTTGATCATTAGGATGGATAGGGATTTGAAAGAATCCACTATAACCATCTAAGAAGCAGTAATACTTATGATTTGCTAATCTTTCTAACATTTGGTCAATGAATGGCAAAAGGAAGTAATATTTTCTAGAAGCAGAATTAAGTTTTCTGTAATCAATGCATATCCTATGACCAGTGATTGTTTTAGTTGGTATTAGCTCATCATTTTTCGTTTTTTACCACAGTGATACTCCTTTCTTAGGCACCACATGGACTGATGAGACCCAAGTGCTGTCTGAGATATGATAGATCACTCCAGCTTCAAGCAACTTTAAGATTTTTTTTTCAACTACCTCTTTCAAGTTAAGATTCAATCTCCTTTGAGGTTCAACAGAAGTTCTTGTCTCATCCTCTAGATGGATCCTATGAGTGCAGAGGTTTGGAGAAATGCCTTGGATGTCATCTAGTGAATATCCAATGGCTCTCCTAAACCTCTTTAACACTTTGACAAGAGCAAGGATCTCATCATCATTGAGGTTATCATTGACAATTACTGGATAAGTAGAGTTAAAGCCTAAGAAGACAAACTTTAGCCCTTTAGAAAGAGGTTTGAGCTCTACTTTGGGTGCCTTAAGCTCACTCCAGTTCTCCTCTAAGCTGCTGTGCTCCTTGGCGCCAACTGAGAACACCTCTTTCTCTGTGTAGTCCAGCTGCTCAAATGGCTCCTCTTCTTCCAAGATCTTGTGAGAGTCTAACCTCAGCTTATAACCCAAACTTTTCTTATCCAAGTAACCCTCTTTCCCATGCTCCTTTGTCAAAGTCACTTGGAGTTTATCTTCACAACACAACTCCCCTTGAAGCTCATCATGCAGCATTTCTAAAATCCCAATCTGAAACACTTGACCTTCAATTGTAGGTTGCTGCATAATCTGTTTGATGTCAAATTTCAGAGAAATGTTCTTACCTAATTGTAGCTTAATCTTCCCTTTCGTAACATCAATGACAGCTCCTATTGTGGCTAGGAAAGGTCTTCCAAGGATGAAAGAGTTCCTAGGTTCCTCATCCATATCCAAAACCACAAAATCAGTAGGTATCTTTCATCATGATCCTGGTTCCGATCGAGGTTGGACTGTCGTGGATCACTTCTTTATCAGCTCTATCGCCTTTCAGCATCTTCGCTGACATATGCAACATCATAGCAATGTGCTTCGTTGTGAAAGAAAACGTGGAGATGGTGATTGGAGGAGACTTCTCGTTCAGTGACAGAACAGCCGTTACCGTTTGCTGGAGGAGTTGCAGTGTTCTGTTTCGAGGGCTTTGCAATGACTCTGGCTCTTGAAGGTTCCATGAGGGAGAGACAAGCTTTCCCTAAACTGTTGGCTAAAGTGCTCGTCGGGATCACCTTCGTCTACGTCTTGTTCGGTTTCTGCGGTTATATGGCTTACGGAGATGAAACAAAGGATATCATCACACTCAACCTCCCAAAGAACTGGTCTGCCATTGCCGTGTAGGTAAATAAACTCGGTGTTTCTTGATCATGTTAAAAGTCTCAGTAGATAGAAGAACTTCAATACTTATCTCTCTTTTTTTTGTCTTGGTTTGAATAGATTGGCTTGTGTGTGGGATTGAAATTTACATTCCCGATCATGGTACATCCGCTTAACGAGATCATAGAGCAGAAACTGAAAAGGAACGAGTGGCTTCAAAAGCATCAGTACAGCAACGAAACAGGTTCGGTCTCCAAATATGTAATCTTCACAACGAGGACGCTTTTGGTGGTAGGACTCGCAGCGATCGCGTCGTTAGTGCAAGGCTTCGGTACATTTGCATCTCTGGTTGGAAGTACTCTGTGTGCACTCATATCGTTTGTGTTGCCTGCTTCTTATCACCTGACGCTGCTCGGTCCATCGCTGAATTTATGGAGCAAATCCGTTGATGTGTTCATCGTGACTTGCGGGCTGCTCTTTGCTGTCTATGGTACTTACAACACGATCTGTCGGAGTGTGAAATGCAAAGTGATTCTGTCTAAAAATGAACACAGCGGCAATAGAAAGTTGCTCAGAAGAAAAAGAGAATGTACAGCTGTTTTTACGTGAATCTGAAATTGGGAGATAGTGAGAAAAAATGAAATTGTTGTATGATTATTTAATGAGTATCAGTAGAAATGGTGAGACAGCCTTTTATAAATTTTGTTACTCTTGACTTTTATAAACCATCTGAGTGTTTAGCAAAACCACACAAGACACTGTTGATGTGTTCTCAGATGAATGGTAGAAAGATAAAAACAACGATCCCTACCACACAGTACATGCTTCAACAACAACTATCTCAGCCATCGAGATGAACCATCTACTCCAAATGTTGACAATGTCAAGATCATCTTATATCGCAATGGCTATGACATGATCATTGACCCAGTCACTAATGAGACTGCTCCTATTACTACTACCACTGCAACTGTTTATGTCGCCTTTCCTGCTGCAGAATATGTTTTGACAACTCCTTCCTCTCGATCAAAAAACAACACAAACAAGTGAGAATGTGGCTCTGTGTCGTTATCAGGTTATAATTCAGAGGAGCCAAAGGGGAAGGTATATCAAAGTCAAAGACCAAGATATCCATTGGACAACTGTTGGTGGACGCATAACAATATTAAAGATTTCAAGTGAGTTATTGTTTCTTTAGCACTCCCTCAATCTTTTAGGTCTTCATATCCTACGAATCAAGTTATTTTGAATGCTTATCTATCTCAAACTACTGTAAAAGTGATACTTTTCTTGCAGTTTTCCAAAAAGGAAAAGAAAAATGTGTTTCAAAGAATGTCATTTTGATGAATTTCTTTTCAAACATACAGCTATATCACTTAATGATGAGTTAAATTCGAAATTGGGAACTTTAAAGGAGAGTTATGAATTAGATTTTTTTTTTTGACAACAGAGTTATAAATTAGATTTGAAAGGTAATAATAATAACGATATTTTTGTTGTAATTAAAAATATATATATAATACACCGATACAATTATTTTTATTTCAATATGTCATTTTCCGTATATAGTAAATAATATTTTTCGTTAAAAAAACAGTGTATATTATTCATAATAATATTAATATACCAATACAGTTTTTTTTTTTCATTACATCATTTGTTATATTTGTTATTCATATTAAACAATATATGTCATTCATAATAATATTAATATACACCGATATAGTTATTTATTTATTTCATTAGATTATCCATAGTTTATAATATTTAAAATAAATAATATACGTTGTTAATAATAACTAGGTGATTTGTCTGCGGAATGCAAACTATCGAGAATAAAACTTATAAATAGATAAAAAAATAAATAACGATGTTCAGAATAAAAAAAAAACAATTAAAAACTATTATAACCGACCAAGTTATTATCATCTCTAAATGTAGTAGCCATACTAATAACTAAATGTTATTGTCGCTCATTACACCATGAAGATTTCTTGCTTCTACAAATGGAGGGTCCAATAAAACTTGCAAACATTTGAAAGTGGTTTCTACTCTCCAATAACCATTCATTCGAACAATCGATACAAACCTCATTATACAGATAGCGGCTGCTCATTGCACGACAACCAAGCTTCGAGAAAGTCCTCTTAATATTCATTTTTCAAAAGTACTAGAACTCGCGAGCCACTGTTACCATTGTAATAGATAAAACGCTCATTACCACACAAGAATCTTAAATGGATCATATCAACATGCACTAATAAAACTTAGAAAAATATACCGTTCATCCACAAGTTCAAAAGTTATGTGTGTTCGCTTACAAAAACCAAGCACATGAACTCCTCTAAAATTCCCAACATTAACAACTCGTCCGATTACGGCTGAAATACAAACAATATATGAGTAATTTAGATTAGCCAAACAAAACTAAACACAACCAATAGAAATCACCAATACAGACATTAGGATCCATACGTCCATCTTTAATGGCTTCAATATCCACGAAAGAAAAACGGCTGGTAATTTCTGTGGGAGGAGTCTTAACAGATACCGTACGTGGGAGACAATGGATCATATAATTGTGTATACTTGGTCGAAACTTTCCGAAAACAGGTATTAGTTTGAAATCACACAACAGACTCCAATCGCCCTCACGAATCTCCGATACGAAAAGAGACGTTATATCTTCGCATAATACTGCATGAATTTTATGACCCTACAAGATCACGACCATGAATATTTTTTTTTAACGATCACCCACAGTTAACCACATGAAAATATAAATTAACTAACTGAGAAAACAATCACTTACCTTGTTATCAACCAATATAAGGTTAATCATCTCTCTGACACTGACCAGGTGTTGAATGATTAGTCATCTTTCTCTCTTTGAATTGATGGCTTTAATGGTGCTTAGTGAGTAGTCTTTTTAGAGATTTGAGATGGGTTAGGTTTAGGGTTTAAACACTTTGTAGAACATTCACCCTAGCACTCCACCTATGATTGAATGGTTCCAATTCAGATACTTTGTAGAGAACCTTGTCGAATTTTTGATAAATACTTCTCGAGAGTAAGTGAGCCATGGGAGTCTTTGATCTGTAGAGGTTTATAATATCGAAGTGAATTCGGTTATTAACAAAGGATTAGTATATAAGAAGAAGTAAGTAAATAATCAACATGGCTAAAACACCGTTAAGCAAATATATATAGAATATTTACTATATAATATCTTTTTTTCGAGGAAGATTAATACATATCTATAACAATAGAATATATTTATAATATACACAAATTGCAGGGTTTATAGTCAATTAATATTTACCCATGATATGCTTTTTCCTATTTCGAATATCTCATAATGTCGTTATATGACAATTTAAAGATATAACTGGAACAAATATTACGGAAATATGAATCATGTATAATATTCCTTTTTGAAAGAAACAAAAATAGATGGAGAATAATTGCAAAATTACGCGGCTTGTTATAATAAAATTACAAAATGAATAAGACATTGCAAAAGATAGAGATATATTATTAGAAATAATGAAATCATTAGTAACACCGTCTTCAGAGTTATCTGAAGTATTACATACGCAAAAATTTAAATCACACTTTAACGAAAACTTAAATCCTCTCATCGAATGTTAAAAGACTCCAAACCAGCATCAATGCTCTAATGTTTTCTTGCTAACCTGCAAAATATTTTTAAAGTTATTACTCAATAATACAAAGATCAGGATGAATCTCAAATCTACTGGATAGACTTACAGAGATCTGAATTTGGTAACCTTTGCGAAGCAGGGATCCAGCATGATCTTAGTAGGAGGTTTCAAAGATATAACGATATTACCTATATATAGGTAACCGATATTTTAAAACATACTTGTTTTAAACAATATATCAAATAAATATCAAATAGTACAAACTTTTGTAGACATCAACAATCGCCCATCTAAAAATCACTTTTTATTATTAGCACATCCAAGCCAACCAGTATGGAACATGCGAGCATCATTGTCAAACATCTTGCATTTGATACAAACATTGCTGCATAAATGCAAACAAGCGTGCTAAATCAAGTACCAACATTCAAAATCCGAAGAAACAAAATTATAGTTACAACAACATACATGAGACTCATTACTTCAAATGCTATCATTGCACATCCACCAACTCCCTTATGAACATAATGTGTCGTTGAGATTTCCAACTTTCCAACATTGACAACTTTTCCAATTAAATCTAAAATACACACAATTTACACAGTCAATATTCAAAATAAACTATGTTAATGTCAAAATTTACAGAAAGTGGATACGAACATACCAATCGAAGAAGTACCGATAGGAACCTTGCTGAGAATCCTCTCAAGGCCAATGAACTTGAAAAAATTTTGTTCACACTGATAATCTTGCATACCAACAATGGTTGGACTAACGATAAGCAAGTGAATATGATTAGACGTAACACTAAATGGGTGATCTGTATCAACAGCAATAAATTTTTTAATTGTAACCCAAATACCCTTGCGTAACTAAGGTGAAAAACGATCGTAATCATTAGCGTGAACTGTACCACAAATCTCTACACCCTGCATCATAACATTTATTAATAATGAAATAACAACATATGCAAAACCACACACCAGAGTTCACTAATTTAACAACACATCACGAACCTTGATATCACAAAAAATTATTTCCAGTCTTACATCATATGGATCAAACGAATTAGTCCACACTCGTAATATCTTCACCAAAAAAGCTGTCTCAACAAAACCAGGACTCAAAGGTGAAACACCAACAGAAGATGGGTCAATCGGATTTGCTTTTTGCGTAGACTCCATGTCAAAAAGCAAGCTAGTGGATATTATATGTCTATTATAGAGACGGAAACAGCTAAATATAAAGAGTATATATAACAAATATTACAAATAAATGTCTCGTATATAAAATAATATGTAGATAGATACGGTATCTAACAATATAGAAATTCCGATCAGCCAGCATCAACAACAGGTATATTACTTTTAACAAAAGATTTATATATAAAATTGAGATATTCAAATCTATCGAATATAGAGCCACATACATGTTCGTATTTATCCAAAAGGAAGATTATATAAATTAAAGTTAAATATATACACGTTCATATTTATATCTAAAAAGATTATATAAATAAAATATACATATTTTGAAAAAAATATAAAAAGTGTAAATCAGAGAATACGTTTAAAAGTGAAATATATATTCTACCTAAAACCCTAGCCCGATAGTTAGCATGGTTTTACGTAGGGTATTAATTTTCTCGAGTTTGCTTCTAAATCTTTAACGTTGGATATCACTTCAACCATAGTGATACATCTTCTAAACCATTCTCGAATATGCGTTAGAATACAATAACATGCGACTCATTCTGTTTTATAAAAGCGAAATGTTCCAATTGATGAACATACGTGACTTCGTAATGCTCTATTATATATTAGACTGAAATCAAATACACTAAACCGAATAAAGGTATTCCAAACCAGATAGCAATATTAATCCCGACCGTAACAAAAGAAAAAAAGAAAAAAAAAACTAAATAATTATTGTTGAGTATACCAT